CTGTGAGGCTGGGAACCCTAGGAGGCCAGTCACCAGGCCAGTCTGCCCAAGAGAGACTTTCTAAGCATTGGCCCCACCAAGTCAAACTTGGTTGCTGGAAGCCTCTGGTCATATGTGATTAAATGAGCATCATTCTCAAATGTGACATTATAGGCAAAGCCTTGGTTGCATAACCCAGATTTCCAGTTATGTCCTATTAACAAGCTGGGCAGACTCTTGTTGAGTCTATGCAAATAGCTGAAAATAACTTATTTTCATTGCCATGAAACTAAGAAGCCTCAGTGGGAGTTTCAGAATTGTGGAAAGGTGAGTCAGGGTAGACCAGAAAAATGTTTCATTTCTGTTTACAAGAGCACAGGCTACTGAACTGTTATGAGAGGTAGCTAGCTTAATACAAAGCAGTTCCTTATATCCAGAAAATAGAACATTAATGTATCAGCACTATTCCAAACACAGCCTATACCTATCTGTCATCCATTCATTCAGTCCTGTGCTACCAAACCTGTCTCACTCTGTCTTGGATTAGCAGTCTCATAAATTCATCTCCTTCTCAACTAAAGTTCTGAAAATCCTGACTTAGTCCACCAATAACCAGAGTGATTTCATCAATGCCAGCAGGAGCCTGGGTCTCTGAGATTGTCGTTTGTGCTTGAAGACAAAGCACTTGGGTTGGTAGCAGATCTGCAAGTGCTCCTTGTGACGCATTAGAGTAAAACACAAAACGATCTGTAGATGAGAAAAGACTGAGAATGGTCATGGTTAATGAATTTCTGATAATTTTTGAAAGTGACAGTTTGGTGACAGGTTGCTGTAAAAAGTAATGCAACAGATCAGGAAATTTGAACATTTGACACTTCAAGTCAGTCCAGAAAGTTTTAAACAAAATGTGCATAAACACGGTGATTCATCTTGTTTTCAAAGAATGGTAGATATTACATCCAATTTATAAAAATGAAGTTACATATTCTTTAATGAGAAAAATGTCAGATGTAATAATACTGAAATATAATATGCCATATATCAAGCATATAATTTGAATAAAGCAATAATATATCTAGATTATAAAACAAAGAGGTTCAGTAAGGCTGTATAAATTTAAGAAAAAGATATCTAATTAGAATAATGGTGTATTTTTTTGTGGAATTGATAACTCAGAAGACATAGCTGTATTTATGAAACCAAAAACATCAACCTTGCCCTGGCTGGTGTAGCTCAGTGGACTGAGCGCCGGCCTGAGAACCAAAGGATCGAGGTTTGATTCCCAGTCAGGGCACATGCCTGGGTTGTAGGCCAGATCCCAGCAGGGGATGCAAGAGAGGCAACCATACATTGATATTTCTCTCCCTCTCTTTTTCTCTTTCCTTCCCCTCTAAAGATAAAAAAAATAAAATCTTAAAAAAAAAAATCAAGCCGGTCTCATTTGCCAAGAATTTACCTATGTTATGTGAACTGGAACTTTTAAAACATTTTGGTAACCATATGTAAGAAAACTTCTTTTACATTGTGTATATATAGAAATTTAATTTTCTTCATTTCTGAGAATTTCAGAAATTTTAAAAAATTATAGCCTCACATTTATCTGTTAGCCAATATGAAAGGACCTTTTAAAAGGGACTTTATAGCATAATGTAGTAATACAGTTTGTAGGTAGGAAAATATTACACATGCATTATACACACACATATACATATACATATATGCACTAATACATATAGAATGACACAGATAGAGAACTTACAGCCTTAATTTTAAAATTTTAGCCACGGTTCAGGCATAAACCCTGAAGTACAAAGCTCAATGGCGCATATGAAATAGGTGACTCTCATCCTTGCCTCACATTGACATTTTTACAAAGACTTTATTCCTAGTGGACGGGGCAAATTGAAGTAACTTGCTCAGTGTGAGGCTGAAACATCTTCTCCAGTATTTGTGGAGGGGACTTAACTTTAAGATGTCCTTTGCCACCACGCGCAGTCCTGTGGAGACTGTGGGCTAAATACCGGGAGAGGAACAGGGGGGAGGGACAGAGGAGAGGGACAGAGGAGAGGCTGAGCAACCATCTGGTGTCTCCTTCCCTGTGAGTGGAAACATTACCCAGACTGTTTTCAGGTAGCTTTTACAACCTCAGGCTGTTGTTCTTGGTGTCTCTGACACCAAGAGTGTTACAGGGGCTCAAATCTCAAGTGCCTGAAAGGAGGTTGAGAGGCTGGAGTGAGAAAGGAAAGATCTGGCTGGGGTAGACAGAGAAGGGTGGAATTAGAGGTGGTGAAGGGGGAGATTCAAGGAGCTTAAGGGTAGAAAGTAGGAAAAAGGAGAATTGGGGAGGGTGAGAGATGAGAAGAAACAGGCCTTAGACATTGTGTAGGTAGGAAGGTGGTTTTTGATAGAAACAATTGTCTCCGAGACAGTTCATGGTTCAGATGAGATCTTGGAATCAGGGGATTCAGGCACCGTACTCAGAATGAGCCACTAGGGACTACGTTTCAGGAAAGAAAAGGAGAGACCAAGTTCCCCAAAGAGGCCATTGAGACAGTAAGTGGTCACTAGTAAAATTTTGCCAATTTGAAGATACTGGACACACTCCAGAAGGAAGAGATCCAAGGGACAATGATCCGATTGACAGTCTCCTGTGATAATACCTGTTGGTACTGAGACCTCCCCACTGGAGCCCGGGTGTAACTTCCAGGGAGAGGGTCAGGGGCTTCAACCACACTCAACACTGGCAGAATGAGGAGACAGAGCAGCAGAGACCAAGACAAAGATAAAGGGAAAAGAAAGCCAAGTCTTTACCATGCTACCACAGACAAACATTTGGAGCGCTGCATTAAGAGTTATCACTTACCAGTGTGGATCCCAATTTCCCAGCTGAGAAAGGACACAGCCTAATAAAAGAGCCTTAATGCTTGGGTGAAAAAAGCAGGGTCCGAGGCACAGTCATCTCTCCACCGGAGTCATGGCATCATTCCTGTTAAAGAAAAAGAAATTGCAATCTGGATGTTAGTATAAAAGACTTCCTTAAGAGACTATTGCCATAGGAGCAGGGAGTATTATAATAGGAAGATGCCCAAAGGCTAACTCAGAAATGTCCTGGGGGAAGAAGCAGTTGGGCAAGTCTTTTAAATGCAGAGTAGAATGTGGGTGGGGGGTGGTGATAAAGTTGGTGGTTGGAGGGGGTTTTTGACTTTTTCCAAGCCTCATCAACAAAATGTCAAGACAGGAAATGTTGATTGTGGTTAGGTACAAGGGCTGGGTCTGTACCTAAGATGAAGCAAACAAGTAAAAAGGCAGGAAGTTCTCAAAGAATTGAGGGCCTTGCGGTCTTAATGATGTCAAGTTCAAAGTTTCATTAGGCTTGTCACACTGAAAATTGCCTTTGTGATTTCCCAGAGGGTCCCTGGAAAATCACCAAGATGTGTTCTTTCATTTTGTATAAAGAGAAATGTTAGAAAAAGAGTTGATATGTGATTGATGATGTGTTGCATTAAAAAATATTATCAAATCAAAAGAAATGCTTAGACTGTCCTAGGTTAAATTTGTACGGGTAAAATGTTATTGACATAAATATTTAAAAACTTATATTCTGTGTGAGAATGTTCTGGAGAACTGTCAATGTTTTTGTTGAACATGATTTGTTTCTATTTACCTGGGTCCTGGTATTGCTTTGCCTGTAAGACAAAAGCTGTATAGTGTTATTAGTCATAATTTCAGTTACTTTTCAAACCATTTACTTGCTTGTAACTTCTTTAATTTGAATCTAGTATATTGCAGGCCAGTAGTTTTCTATTGGGAGCTGGCAACACTTATCTGTAGAGTTTCATTAATTTATGAATGTTTAAAGCCAATTCCAGATGTACTGAATGTATTTACTAGATAATTTTTCTTCCATAGGCACAGTGAAAATGTTATTATTCTTATAGATAAAAAAAATCTTTGGTGGGATATGTTCTTTGAGATGGATGAACAAAGAGGAACAAGCTTGTGAAGACAGGAAGGATGATGAGAAAGTGTTTTCTGGGGAAAACATTGCCTATGGTTTCCTGGGAGACCTGGCTACTTCCCTGTGGCTTGGTAATCTTGATAGATTCCTGTTACTTTCTAACAACATGCTGGTATGCATGGCATCTCATGTCTCAGGACTATTATATATTATATCTGAGAATGTTTTCCCTGTGAAGATTATGCTCTGGTACTGTCATAAATTAGATGTAATATCCACCTTTTTTTGAAAACAGACTTAAATCTTTGTGTTTACAGGTATTTTGTACAGAATTGTATTGGGTTGACTTTGCTTTGCATGCCATGGCAACAACTAGATAAGCTTGTTAATTGCATCACTCTTGTACCAAACTCTTTTAAGATGATTCCCTTTGGAAAAATATCAATAAGTAAACGACAGTAATTTTTAGTCCTTGACAGCTGTGGGTAGTGTTGTTTGTGTGCTTTGTTTACTCCTGATGGTTCCATGAAGGCACTTGCACTCAGTTATAGGGCAGAACATTCCATCTCGTCAGAAAAAGACTATCTTAGAGCCTGGGGGAAAAGGACTGTGCTAGCTACCCTCGGATACCAGCTTCTGATGACATTGCTTAAACAACAGTAAAATTATACCAGTGGGCCAAGTCAGGAGTTCCAAACCTCTACTGGAAAGTGGATGCATTCATCATAAGACTACTGACCCAAGCTGAAGTGAAAGAAGAGTAATTAATTACATGGGACTGAATGAACTGATGAACAGAATGAATATGAACTTTGTTTGGAATAGTGCTGATGCATTAATGTACTATTTTCCGGGCATAAGGAACTGCTTTCTATTAAGCTAGCTACCTCTCATAATAATTCAGTAGCCTGTGCTCTTGTAAACAGAAATGAAACATTTTTCTGGTCCACCCTGACTCACCTTTCCACAATTGTGAAACTATCACTGAGGCTTCTTATTTTCATGGCAATATAGTTATTTGCATAGATTCAACAAGAGTGTGTCCAGCTTGTTAATAGGACATAACTGGAAATCTGGATTATGCAACCAAGACTTTGCCTATAATGCCACATTTGAGAATGATGCTCATTTAATCACATATGACCAGAGGCTTCCAGCAACCAAGTTTGACTTGGTGGGGCCAACGCTTAGAAAGTCTCTCTTGGGCAGACTGGCCTGGTGACTGGCCTCCTAGGGTTCCCAGCCTCACAGGTGAGGGAGGAAGGGTCACTTCCTGGCAAGCTCAGGAATCTTAGGCTGTTTTGGGGACCTCAGGAAGAGAGGAATTGCCACCAACTCACTGGGTACTGCAGGTGACAAGTCATGGTGAATTCTTGGCTTGGCTTCCTATCCTCACGAGGCTTTGAGGTGTCCAATCTGAGATTCTTTATGAAAACTTCCAGCAAAGCAAATGTGAGAGCTATGTGGTAAATTGTCATTCTTGGTGCATCTATGCAAATGGCCGGGCCACATCTAATGAGACCAGCCTTGGTTTGTGACCCAGAGTAAGCTTTCTTTGAGATTGTCTTTGACCAAATGGGGTAGAAAGAACTTAGAGTGCAATATTGTGGAGACCTGTTAGAGAGAAGTTTTGTGTTCCAATGGGAAACTATAACACACTCTTCTGGATGACCAGATTCTGATTCTATTCATTGTCTTTGAGCTATTTTGCTTCTGTTTGTAAATTGCAACTGAGACACATGCAAACTTTGTATTATCTGGTAAGCAAGCTTTCTCATTCACTGTGAAAACATGTTTTTGGTATTGAACTGAATTATCTCACCTTGCAGAGATTGTCAACCCTTACCAGAATTTCAGTCCTTCCAGATTCCTTCATTATCTGGCTACAACCTAACCTGAGCCTTCAAACTGAGCTTCCAATTTTCTCCTTTCTTTGTGACGTGGAGTCACTGAAAACTAAAACTTCCAGATCCTTGTTGAGACCCTGAGATTGCCTTGTAGCTGCTCCTTGCTCCCAGGATCTGAAGAGCCATCGTACACTCAGGCCTGAGGGCTTATTGTAAGCCTAGAAGAAGGACTCATCATTTTAGTGGACCATTTGTGGTACAGATCTCTCCTTGGATAAGCTACTGTTTAAACTACTACAAGAAGTCTGGTGAAATTCTTAGGTCACTCATGCCCTGATTGGAGAAGTAACCAATGCTTTGGACAACATCATCAGTGCAGCTGACAATGTAAGTTCAAAAAACTCAATGAATGGTTAGAGCATGAATATACAAACAGGCAATGGCAAGACCATACATAAAAATAAAACTCTGACACACATCCTCAGTAGCCCCCAGTCTAACTACCCAATAACAACCTCTTCAACATCAGCCCCGAATCATGACCTGGTCAATAATTGCCAGCTTCCCTAACTTTTTGCCCCTACTTCTAACTTAGGACCGACCCCAGAAAGCCAAAATACATTCCTAACAAATTATATAGGATGGCCCACTTCTAGTTAGCTTGCTTCCAGCTTCTGCATGCAAACAGCCTCCAGGTAGAGCCTACCTGAAGCCTCTCCTGTTTCCCACTAGAGGTTTCTCATCACTCTAGATTCATTTGAATATCTGCCATATTTGAGTCATGGTGGTGATGCACTTGCTATAGCAAGTTCTGAATAAATGGCTTTTGCTTGTTTTCATTTGTGTGATCTTCATGTATTTCCACAGTTTCTAGAAGCTTCCACCAAAATACAGTTTGCACTGACCATCGCCATGGACTCCAGTTTTCATGCAGGTGTGGGAGCCCTTGTGCCTTGCTGCTTGTTTCTTGTCGAGTCCACAACAACGTGGTAAGTCAGCATCAGGTCTGCCCTCCACTCTTTTTGTGTTGAGTTTCTTAGTTATTTATTTTCAGGTTGGAACCCAGATTCCCACTTGCTTGATTTCCTTGGTGGAATGTAGCATTATTTTCATGACTCTTTGCTGCATTTCTGGTACCATTTTGTGGTGTGCTGTCTCAAAGTGCTATTTGCCATAAAAAGAGACTAGAACACAGGTATATGTCTTATACATCTGTTGTTGATGGCAGGTTACAGACCAGTGACTTTGCATTCTTATCAGAACTGCCCATTTGGACAAACTTTGCTGTAGGCCACCAATAAAACTGGATGAGGTTCTCCATCTGTCTCCAGTGTTAGTTCTTAGAACTTTATTTATTTTTTTCAGAGCTTTAGTTTTTGATTCAGAGAGAAAAATTCCCTCTGGTATCCCACCTGCCTGGGGGTGCAGATTGTCAGGTCTGTGTTTGGAGGCAGCCAGTCATCAGTCTAAGGACCTGACATATGAGGTGCACAAGCATTTTCTTTCTACCAACCATTGCCAGCTCACACAAGTTCATCTAAATCTGAATCTTTTCCAGGAAGAGTGCTGCTTTTTTTTTTTTGAAGATTTTGTTTATTTATCTTTAGAGGAAAAGGGAAGGAGAGAGGGAGAGAAATATCAGTATATGGTTGCCTCTTGTGTGACCCCTGCTGGGAACTGGCCTGCAACCCAGGCATGTGCCCTGACTGGGAATTGAACCTTGACCCTTTGGTTCACAGGCCTGTGTGTTCAATCCACTGAGCTGATTTTGCCCAATCAGCCAGGGCAAAAGTGTTGCTTTTTTAACTTACTCTCATTACAGTTATAATTCCTTTATCTATTTTTCCAAATAACATGATTTTCCCAAGTACAATGTAGACTTGAACATTTCACTTTAACGAAATTGTTCATTTGAAAGGTTCCTTAGAAACAACAAGGAGTAAGATTTCTCAGTCTAAATGCTCAGCCTTTTAGATGGGTATTCAGAAGCCTCCAAATAAAATTCTGAATTTAAGAAATTGCTCCATTAAAAGAATCTTTGGCCAAAGCCATGAGCAATTTGACAAACTTAAGTAACGACAAAGTACACTAATTTACCTAGTAAATTTTCTTTGTCCTTTGGTTGCTTCCATATATCCTGCTCTCCTGTCTCTCTTCCCTCCTCTCCTTCAGTTCTGACTTCTTTTCCTCCACACCTCTGTCAACCCCTCCCTCTTCTTCCCCTTTGTCCAGACCTTCTGATATTTCCCAACCATCCTAAAACCCCCAATGCCAATGCCTCTAAAAAAAATTCACCTTTTCCATGTGCTAGATGAATTGTGCCAAGTAAAATTCCATTGTGCTAAGTAATTCAGAATTCCACACAATCGGAAGGCTACTCAAACAGGGGGCTTGAAATGGAGAATACTCAGAGATCTTCTAGACACAGCTGATCTTTAGAACAAGCAGATGATTTAGACAATGGACAGCTTCTGCCCAAGATGCTGGAGTAGGACCTCTGTCTGACTCCTGTTTTGTTTTTTAATTTCTCTGCTCATTATCATTCTCATTTTTTATAGTCCCTTAGTTGTTGTTCACATATAATAGCAACTTCTCTCAATTTTTCCCTCCTTGCATAATTGTTAGGTTGGAACATATTTATTTTAATGCCATTCTTAAATTAAATCAGACAGTAGCCACTGCCCTCAGTCTTACTGTCTGATGGATATGCCATCAATCACTGGATCCCATTATAAAACCTCTGGGCAAATCCAATCTCATCAGATGAGACCATAAGGAAATATAGCAGATGACATTTCTGCTTGCACCTACATGGAAAATGATATTAAAAAATCAACTAGTAAATTATTTTATCAATTATTATAATCTACTGATCATACCTTATGTAATTCTGACCTCATGTCATCATGTCATGATTACTTTCTTTTTTTCCTAGATCTCCAAGTGTCTTTATTGAGTACTAATTTTTTGTGACCAAAATGCCTGGTTCTGTTTTCTTCAGACTTTGCCAAATGTAAGTGTTGGTGGCTGACTCCCTTGCTGTATAACAAGCCATAAATAAATAGTCTTTGCTCATTCTTAAGAGGGAGGTTTTTCATTTCTTATTATAGCAATGTTGCTTAATCAAAAGACCCTCCCCCCCCACTAACCTCTAGGAATCCACTAGACTTGTACCCCATGGGGCGTGACTCAAACTTTTATATTAATATTTCCCTTTTTCATTTCAGGAATCCTGTTTCATATGCCCAGACTTCAAAATTCTAAAACAACCGACTTGTGCTATATAACCTTTCAACAGATGGTCGAACTTATTTTACAGAAACAACACCAACAAGAGTCCCAGAAAGACTATTAATGAGACCCTTCATCTCACTCAGGAGTTTTATACTTGTCTCTTAGTTGTTTAGGAACCTATTATATTCACTAATATTGAACAAAAGGAAGGAATGACTATGTTGGACTTTACCTAAGCTCTGTGTTCCTGGAAAACAGTGATGCTTAAGAAATACTTCATGTTTAGGGCTGGGAAGGAGGGGTGATGGGCATGGGGTGGGAATAGCGATCCTGCATTTTTTTTTTGAGGTGATGAAAATGTTCTCAAAATTGACTGTGGTGATGGTTTCAAATTTAAGACTATAATAAAAATCATTGTATTATACATTTAAATGAGTGAATTGTAGGGTATATAAATTAGATCTTAATAAAGCTGTTAAAAACTAAAGAAAAAAAATGACCCATGTTTGCAGATGTTTAGCTCTTAGGAAGTCTATTTTCCGAACATAAGAAGTTGAGAGCTAATTCTGAACTATCTTTGTCCCTTTGAATTCAAACTGCCAACATTTTCGCCAATGAGATTCTCTTAAAAAATTTGTGGGATTTCTAAAAACCTGATGAGAGGTTCACTTTATGCCCCATGATTTCTGAGTTGGATCTTCAACTAATTCTGAGTTTTAAAATTTCTGATCATTTTGTGGATCAGTTGTAAGATTCCACACTGATTTTGCCTGGGTTCACTGGAAGGTGCAAAATACCTCACCCACATGTTTGCCTGCTAGCTTTTGGCTGAAATTTCTGATTTTCTCTACATGGCCTCTCATTCTCAAGTAAGGTAATTTGGCTTCCTTTCATGGTTGCCTCAGGGAAGTTTTCTAGAAGAACAAAAACAGAAGATGCAAAGACTCATAAAGTCTGACTCCAGAAGTTGCATTCTATCATTTCTGTCCTCTCTCATAGGTCAAAGAGAATTATAGGCTAGTGTAGACCAAGAAGATACAGCAACAAACGTCACAACTGGATGGGAGTCAAAGTCAGATTACATTACAGCTATGTCTTACTGAGACAGTAGGAGTTCTGAACATCAATTAATGTATCAGTCACTATATATAAAAATTTTGTACTTTATCTTTTAGTGATTGCAGAGTCTCTGAAAGTTATTAATAGAAGGGAAATTATATGGCCAGTTTGAGTTTTAGAAAGATGACTCTGAAGGCAGTGTGAAAAATGAAGTCAAGAGAGAAAAGATTGATGTTAGGCAAAATGTATTTAGAAGAATAATAAAATAGACTACTCAACTCAGGAAAGTGTAAGATACTGAAGAAAGAAATTGAAAATGATACAAATAAATGGAAGCATATACATTGCTATTGAATAGGAAGAATTAACATTATTAAAATGCTCATTCTACCCAAAGCAATCTAAAGGTCCAATGCAATTCCTATCAAAATATCAATGATGTATTTTATAGAACTAGAAAAAATAATCCAAAAATTCATATGGAACCACAAAAGACCCTTAATAACCACAGCAATCTTGAGAAAAAAGAACAAAGTTGAAGGACTCATGCTAGCTGATATCAAACTATACTACAAGGCCATAGTAATGAAAACAGCATGTTATTGGCATAAAAACAGACATATTGATCAGTGGAACAGAATAGAGAGCCCAGAAATAAACCCACGCCTATATGATTAATTAATATTTAACAAAGGAGGCAAAAATATACAATGGGTAAAGACGGTGTATTCAATAAATGGTGTTGGGAAAATTGGATAGATAGATACATGCAAAAAAATAAAACTAGATTACCTTCTTACAACATATACAAGAATAAACTCAAAATGGGTTAGTAATTTAAATGTAAGACTCAAACTATAAAAGCCATAGAAAAAAATATAGGCAGTAATATCTTAGACATGTCTCTTATTAATATTTTTTTTTCTGATATATCTCATCAGGCAAACAAAACACACAAAAAATGAACAAATGGGACTACATCAAACTAAAGAGATTTTGCACAGGAAAATAAGCCATTGACAAAATGAAAAGACAACCCATTGAATGGGTAGAAATATTTGCTAGTGATACATCTGATAAGGTGTTACTATCCAAAATTTATAACGAACTCATACAATCCAACATCAGAAGACAAACAAACAAATAAACAAACAATTCAGTTAAAAATTGGGCACAGGATCTGAACAGACACTTCTCTAAAGAGGACATACAGATGGCCAATAGATGTGAAAAAATGTTCAATGTCACTGGTCTGGAAGAAATGCAAATTAAAACCTTAATGAGATATCACCTCATACCTGTCAAAATGGCTATCATCAATAAATCAACAAATGTTGGTAAGGATGTGGAGAAAAGGGAACCTTTGGGCACTATAGGTGGGAATGCAAGTTTTTGAATTTGACTCAGTGTCCAGCAGTTTCAAGAATTTATATAGTATGACCACTTACTCTACCATGACTAAATGTGTGCATAATAAACAATGTATCACACTCTTAACAACATATGTGTGATATAAAACTATATCAAGTGCAAGCATTTGAAAAACGAGCATAGAATTTGGGATGATGGCTATTTTAGATGTGGGATGTGTGCTGTCATAAAAGCCTTGGAATTTTGATTGGGCAATGGGCTCATACTTGCTTTTAATATTGTTTTAAAAGGAGCAAGAGAAAAGAAGACAGATAATTATAGACCGAAGAGGAGAGTACAGTATGAAACCAGGATTGTTTTGTATATCTGATCCATGAATGCAAAAGATAATGCTCATCTGCTTTATGAATCTTCAATAAGATGAATTAGTCTATAGCTTTTCACAAATGTGCTTATGGGAGTAATTTACCCACAGATTCACTGTGGGAGGTAGCAAGGTACTTATCATTGCTGTTCACATGTCAGAGAATTGAGTTTATGAAATGGAAAACAAATTTGCTCTTCTTCGTTATTATGAATGCGATATCTTTCTTTTGTTTCTTAGTCATTTGTTATAATTTTATTTGCTAATAACCAGTCAATAACATTTAATGAGAAAAGGGTATTTTACAAGGTTCTGTGAATACTATAAAATGAGTAAAATCCATATTCTAGTCTGAAGAGATGTGCTGTCTATTATGGTTACTGTGAGCCCCTGTAGCTTTAAGCACTTGAAATGTGGACAGTGTAGCCAAGGAACTCAATTTCTAATTTTATTTCATCTTTTTCAATTTCAGTTAAAATTTAAAATATTTTCCATTAAATATAACTATTGTTTTGATAGGCCTACATTTTACTTAAACTGCTCAAAATTGAGCACACAAACTGAGATGTGCTATAAGCAGAAAATACACACTGGATTTTGAAAGTTAGTATGAAGAAAAAAAGTAAAATATTTCATCAATAATCTTTTATGTTTATAACATGTAAATATAATTTTTGATATATAGGGTGGGACAAAAGTAAGTTTACAGTCATGAGTATGTAAAACAGTTTATTCTTGTATTATTATTAATTATTGTATTATTTTCCACACAAAAAAATCGAGAAGCTTCCTTCTGTGGTTTTCTGAGTTTCAAACCGCTAGCTGCCATTGCCTCTCCTTGCTGTGGCTGGTCACAGCCGAGGGTCCGTGGGGTCTCTCCTCACCACTGAGAATGAGGGAGGCTGGGGAGTGGGCAGCAGAGAGGTGCTGTCCCTTGGTGGCAGTACCAGCCGGACCGAGAGCATTCATCACTGATCGGAAGCCTCTGCTTGACTTGTCTGTTAAGTCAGGCCCGGCAGCCATTTATTCCTTGCCTGACTAAAATGCAGTGGAGATTATTGCTAGAAGGAACCTTTCTGCCTCAGCTCTGCCAGAGCTGAGAATTCTCCCCAGGGCCATGCGAATTCCCTGTGTATACACGCCAGGGATGCAACGGGCAGGAGAGACAGGTGGGAAGAAGAAGGCTGAAAGATGTGAGTGCTCCAAAGGGGCCCGTGCCTTTTCATGGTGTCGCGGCGTCACTTAGAGCATTGTGTGTGTGTGTGTGTGTGGGGGGGGGCTCTCTTTAGGGAGCCTTCAGTTCAATACTTCCCAAGGGTGCCTTCCAGACAAGGAGGAATGACAGACTAGCAGTTCTAAAAGGACACCTGCTCACCATGTATGCAATTAAAAAACTTTTATCCCACAATAAATCCCTGCATTTCTTCACTTATCAGATATTTACCCAACACCTGACACAAACTGATGGACTGAGAGTAGATAGAAGGAAAAGAAAGGAATAAGGGCAGGACACTAGGCTCCTGGCTGGAGCAACCCCCCGTGGAGGTGGTGCCGTTTACTGAGATGAGAAAGGTTCAGCTCTGAGGTCGAGGAGACAGAAAAGAAGAGGCAAGCTGTGCACACGTACATTTTGAAAACCCTGTAGTACCTTCAAGTGTGGAGGTGGTATGGATGCCTGGTCCCCTTCCAGAACAAAATCTATAAAAATCTTTCGAGTGATACTCTGGGTATTTTTTGACCCTTCCCCAGATGACCCTCCAGTGCAGCCAGCATGGAGAAAGCTGGTGCTGCTGACTACGTGCTCTGGAAGACAGATGCACAAACAGGTTTCAGAGGCAAAGAGCCTCTGCATTTTAGACGTGTGCAAAGGGGCACATGTGCTGGCCTGAAGGGAGATTCAGGAATCCTGAATCCCAACCTCTGCTCTGCCACCTGGCAGGAGTGTCTTCCCATTTTAGCCTGAGTTTCCTCACCTATAAAAGGAAGGGGTTGGACTGGATGAGCCACTCCTCTGTGAACGGCTCCCTATGCCACTGGGGACCCCTGTCTTTGACAGTATACTCTGGATGGTACATGGATTGGGACCCCGATACTGCCATTTCTCAACTCTGTGATCCTGGAGAAGTTACCCAATTTCTCTTATGATTGATTTTCTTTGCTAGAAAAAGTATGTGAAATAATATACTTATCACTTGAGTCATTATAGAGTTTAAACAAATTAATATCTCTACAGTGCTCAGCATGATGACTCTCACTTGATAGCTGATCAATAAAAGCAACTGTGATTATTATGTCCCTTAATGTTCTTTTTATTCAACTTGTTAATCCAGAGTTCCAGGGAAATCAAAAGAAGAGAACATAGAAAGTAGACTCTGTCGATGCTACACATTTGGCTGATTTCTCTATAGGCTCACACGGCCCCTCCCCCCCCCCCACGCTTGAATGAAAAGAGGAGATTACAAAACCTTCACAAGCACCAGAACTAATTACCATTCATCCTCTGCCCTCAGAATCTCAAGTACTGTACTTGAATAATGGAATTATCCCTGGGTGCTTTTCAAAGCATTTTCAGGACAAAATCTTTATTTGTAAAAGGGGAAAATAAGTCTCTTGTAGGACCGCACGGCATCATTGGGAAAGGACAACAGTGGTAATTGTTTTACTCACTGGTAACAATTTCACCATCCCCAAACTCACCCAGAAACACATCTATGTCTGAAAAATCCCCACTGCCAGAGAGCTTGTTCACACATTTTGCAAAGAAGCAAACAGAAGAGTGAACATTTTTTTTTTTTGTGGTAAGCCCTGTGCTATGCTTTCTGTTAAAATTTCAACAAGCAGACAGCATTTGAATGCACAGACTCTTTCAACTGCTTTAAAAATTACTTCTTAAGCTGAGGGGTAGGTGTGTGTCCAAATCTTATTTTGTTATTCCATACTTTTCCTGTGTCTATAATATTTCATAATTCCTTTGTTTTTGACAATGGCATCTGCTGTACGAGTTCAGTCTTACAAAGAACTCTGTTGTATACTTGGTGCTACATTCAGCTGCTCTTATGCCTTATTTTAGTTTTCCACACATATTTATGTTGGGAGATAAATATGAAATTGGTTGTATTTTTCAGTAAAATTTCCCATTATTCTTTAAAAAAAATCCCCAATTGTTCAAAGAGAAGAGGGTTTTACTACAACTTTTTTTCTGATAACTTAAAATTTCTTACGGACATATTTTAAGAAGTATAAAATACTTTTATATATAGAAATATAGAGTATATGAAATATAGAAATAGAATATAGAAATATTTTTTAAAAACCTAGAATAAATTTTTAGAACAATTAATCCATGTGACAATTCCTGATTTTATGAGAGAAGAAATAGAATGACATATTTTGGCATTTTTTATGTAATATTTTTTCTTCTTGCATCCTTTTTCCCTCATGCAAATGGACACTTTGCTTCTATTTCACTTCCAGCTTTCTGACCCAATTCCTCACTGCCCTCTCCGAAGTTTTAGAATTGTCTTCAAGGGCATCGCCTACTTTTCAATGGCTCTGAACAGAAGAATTGTAGTCTATAGGTGGTGAGGACTGAAAGGCATTTTAAATTAAAGATCCTCTTTAGAATGATTCACAAGCTTGATCTGGCATCCGCACCACCCAGAGAGTTTGTTACAATAGACATTGTTGGGCCCACACTCAGAGTTTCTGAGTCAGCGGGTCCATGGTGCGATCTGACCATTTCAACTTCCAACAAGGTCCCAGGCGAGGCTGATGCTGCTGGATCAAACTTTGAGAACCACTGATCGGTGAGTTAAGAGGCCAGTGCTCTTCCGTACCTCCGATGCTATGTTTCTCTAACTGAAGAAATGCTCACAGAGCACTTGTATCAGTACAATGTATTGGACAATAAAGTCATTTAATTATCACAGCACTGCTATGATAGGACACTGTTCTTTTTCCCATTTAACAGTTGAGGAAACTGAGAAAGAGAGATAAAGTAACTTGCTTACAGCCACTGGGCCAGTAAGTGGCAGGGCTTGGGTTGGAGCCCAGCAGGCAGTTTCCAGGTCTGGACTTTCCACCGCTTTGTTCTGCTGCCAAACCACAACACAGGGTGCAATGTGCGAACACAGGAAGGGGCAACCATTTTAAACGGGAAAGATGTAGAAAAGGATATGGGGGTGTTGGAAGCATTTTCACAGGATCAGAAAGGAAGAGTAGAATTTTGATAAGCCCAGATGACAGGAAGAAATATTCCAGGCTCAGGAAAAAAAAAATCATGCAATAAGACACAATGAAGTAGAGCACGCGAAGTATTCTTGGACTGAGGGGTCTGGACTGATTGAACCACAGCTTGCCTAGACATGTTAAGTAAGAAATAAAACTAGAAAATACTGAGAGACCAGATTCAAAAGAGTTCTTGTGTGATTGCTGAGAAGTTTAGATTTATTTTTTCCTATGGTAAGAGCTGGGCAGAGGGGAGTGTTGTAGTGTTTTCAGAGTGAATGTGACAAACGCTTGCTTCAATTTGGCATCCTGTGGAGATGGATGGAGGAGGATGCTCATTGGAAGGCTGCCCAAGAATCCAGTTGGGGGATGCTGGTGGCCTGGACCAGGTGATGAGAGAACGGAGCTGAGAGGGGCTGGACTTGAGAATTATTAAGGAGGCTGAATCTAAAACTTTCAAACATTGATTAAAAAGATACAGATGATACAGATAGAAGAAAAGAGAGGTGAGACTAGAGCAGACAAACATTTATTGGGCATCTCTCTGTCTTCCAGCTTCTGTAACAAGCACCAGAAACACGGGAATCTGGAAAACACAGGTTTAGTGCCTGCCCAGGGGTTGCTTCTGGCCAGCGGGGAAGACCATGTGGCAACATCAGTGATCACTCCAGTTAAAAACACACTGGGAAGTTGCATGACCCAGAGTGTAATTTTTCATGCTGAAGCTTGATGGATTAAATAGCTCTGGACTCAGGAGAACTCTGCCCCAACAGGAACAATAAAATAAGCCACAGTCAGCGTGTCCCACAGAAGACAAATGTCTCTCTAGCAGCCATCCTTCCAGTCGGTAAGTAGACCTGACATTTAAGCATCTATTGCTCCTTATGCACCAATAAGTCTAACTTGAGGTCCAAATATCACTACAGGAATGAGAGCTTTTAATGAGCTCTAGCAAAAAAATATGGTTTAAAAAGCACATTACCTGCAGTTACATAGCCTCAAGGATGCTAATGTTAAAATGTATGAGAAAAGTGCTTGAGGAAGGCCCGAGCCATTATAAATGCTAGGTATAATTTCTATTTTAGAAACACAAATTAGATCATTTTTTTAAAAAGGGTCCACCCTAGAGTTTATTTACTAAAACTCCATAATAGGTTTTGTACTACGGTTCTATTTTTCTTCCTCTTTCCTCCCTGTAGTGGTTAAAGATTAGGCTGGTCAACAGGCAGTAGGACCTTGTTGGGGGCTGATAAATGCATATACCCTGGCTTATTTTTCTGCAAAAGGGTGTTAATGGGGGAAGCGAGGGTGGTCCAGTCAACACAGTGCTCCAGGTAGTCACCCTCAAACAACAGGGGTTGACAAGCAAAATAGAACATCCTTTTTGCCTCTGATTTAGAAAATCACCAGCTTTTCTCCAGATAGATTAGAAGCCTTAATTTATAAGAGTGAAATTTTAACAATTAGAATTTTATACATGTAATGGTATAGTATGGGGGGGCAGCCAACTAGAAGCTTTGAAAGTATATATAGCAAAACAATAAAGAATGATCCTCATAATTGCTTTATTTCTTTGCTTCCAATTCAAATTTTTCAATTCAGTTCTCAGAGAATTGGAGGAAAGAATTAAAAGCAGCAACCGCTCAGTTTCTTACTAGTGTACTGAATTAGAATTGAATGCAATAGTAGCCCTTATAACATAAAATTGATTTTATGTTGATGGTTTGCTGGGAAGAAGAGAGTTAAACAGGGAGTCTCCAATCCATCTACTCCTTTTATGAGGACGGTGGTGGAGTGATGAGCGGGAGACACTCCTGAGCAAGAAAGATGCTTGTGACCCAGTCTAATCTCCTTTTGACACACTAATGCTAGATCTCCTGTCACTCAAACTCAATGGTGTCTGCTGGCAGAAGAATCCTTATCTAAAGAATGCTTTTAGCAGATTGTGCCTGGTTGTCTAGCTGCTTAGAGCCAACAAATGCAGAATGTATGAATTTATGAGGCGTGCTTCCCTGGAAGAAGTTGGATAAGAAACTTCCTTGAAACAGAGAAGTTTCAGGAGTTAGCGAGGTGATCACACATCTTAAAAATTGCACCTTGTAACCAGGACCAGAGCTCATTTGATGTAGGGAGAAAAGGCCTGGGGATCAGCACCAGGTCTTGGGCCTCTCTCTGCTTTGCCTGTGTTTACAGTCACCTGCATCCTTAAAAATGTCAGTGAATCCCAGAAATGGATAAAATCTCTGATTCCTGTGAGTCTCATGAGACAGTCTGATCTCTGGGGTTCCTTCAGGTCATTCCTGTGGAGAGTAGATATTCTCCTTCAACTTTGACTGAGTGTTTCCATCATGGGAAGAACTCTTGCAGGAATGACACTATGGCTTCATTTTTGTTTCTCTTCTCCTGGTCAGAGACAAGAATTAGCCTGGAGTGCATGTAACAACAGACCTTATTTCAACTGTCCAATTTGTTGAGGGCAAAAACAAATAGTGGGGTAAACTGTCAAGGTCTGTTGTTGGCATTTGTGGTTTCTTGAGCCTTGTAGGGAGCAAAGATTCAAAGTACGTGTTTAAGATGGCAATCTGAAACTGGCACAGCTTCCCACTCTTGTTCCAAATGCAAAATGACAAGAAGGCATGTAAATTAATAAAACCATAATGTGATGTACACAAGAGTCTTTGCAATACTAGGAACTTTAAAAAATCCCAGACAGACTTAAAATAGACAACAGAGCATTGAAGAGAGAAATCTCAGCTAAAGTCACCATAGGAGACCTGATGATAAAATTGAGTTTGGCAGCAAAAGCCTGCACACCTGGCACCTGTATACCCAGAGTAAGAAGCCATTGAATGGCAACCCACAGGCTGACTCATTGGTTTTACCCACAGAACAGGTTGCACTTTGGCCATATAGCCAAATATCCTTATTTGGGTGTCTACTTCCAGCGAAAAGTAGAGGGTGTGGGAACTTGGGTTACATATGAAAGATAGTGTCCTGGATGGCTAATTCCTCCAGGGAAGGGTGGTGGGTGGTCACTTGTAGAAGCATCCTCTGTGGGGACAGCCTCAGCAGCACATTCTAGGTTACCTCCAAGCCGAGAGTGCAGGAAGATGCGTTGGAGAGTCTAACAGGAAGTCTCCCATACAGAAATGAACACTTGTCCTGGCATCATTTAATGTGTGAGGACAGACAGACAAGACTAGAGAAAGAAAGAAGAGGAACCTACACTCAGGAGATCTAGAAGCTCTGGGTGTGAGATGTGGTTCCTCAGAGCTAGAATTCTGAGAAAAGACCTCAAAGGAGGAGAGAATCCAGAGGAGAAAGGGACAGTCTCCTTAAGATAACTCAGGGCACACTCCTGTCCTTTGATTTATCATCCTGTCCTTGGTTGGCAGAAGCACGGCATCCTCACTTGACACTGGAACCCAAGGAGACAAAACACAAGACCAAAAAAACTCCTTTGTAATTAGGCCACTGCCCAGCCAGTCCAGCATAACAAGTGAGGATATTTTGACAAGAGTTTTGTCATTAAAGACCTTCTTTGGCTGTGATGGGAAAATTGGGACAATTGTTACCAAGGTCGCAGAGACCATGTTTTCTAAATGGGTCAAAATTGATTACATGTCTGAGAGTTCTTGAGATTAAAAAAAAAATGTATGCAAAGAGATTTTCTTTTCCTTGACATTAGAAGGAAAGAAAATTTCTGAAGAGGGCAACCAACCTCAAAATGTCATGTATAAATAATGCTTCTGAACCTCCCAAGGAGAAAAATTCTAGGCCAGAAATAATTATAAAAATTCAGGAAGTGCATTGCTCAATGGTGTCATTCACTGTTTTCGGACTAATGTAGGAAATTCACCTATTGCTGATGGAGGGGAAAAACGAATTCTTAATGTTTGGTTAAATGCCACTTAAATGAAATATCTTTGATAACATAAATATCTTTATAAGACTTATTAGGGAGGACAGAGACAAAAATATTCTTTAACCTAAAAAACAAAGAGAAATATAATTTGCAGATTTTTAAAGATTATATTCATTTTTAGAGAAGGTAGAAGGTAGGGAGAAAGAAAGGGAGAGAAACATCAATGTGTGGTTGCCTCTCATATACCCCCAACCAGGGACCTAGCCTGCAACCCAGGCATGTGCCCTGACTGAGAATAGAACTGGTGACCCTTTGGTTTGCAGGATGATGCCCAATCCATTGAGACACACTGGTCAGGGTGCAGATTTTTTAAATATATCATTAAAATTGTGCTGCCTTCTTCATAATCTGTTTTATTGTGAGAAATTTGTTTCTTTCATGAGCCTTTATGTCTATCAATAAAACAGGAATCACATAGGCCTGGTACGCTTTAAAAAATTAATTATATGAGTACATAAGCTAGGAAACATGAAAGTATAAATCTATAAAACTATATTTATACCACCTTGTCTTGACAAAATTTTCAAGTTTTATCACCTAACACCTAAGGCAGTACCTTGCTCATAGTAGGTATTCTATAAATATTTGTTGAGTGAATGAATAAATGAATAGACCTTTATCTCTAAGTGGGAGAAGTAGACAGGGAGTATGTTGTGGGTAGATTTGATTTCTATGCTGAAGAGCTTTATTAGGGCTGAAAATATTTTTATCCAATGTGACATGTTAACATGGAGTATGGGACTGAGCATTGGAAATGGTGGTGGGACATCTTGATGGCAATTTAGTAAACAGAGGTGGTGAAGCAAGGACAGTGGGGTCCATGATAGTCCAACGGATATATTGTCTTCTTAACTACATTTCTCTTTATTACCTTTCCTGGTGGCCCATTGTGAAGGAAAAAAGAAGAGAGCAAGAGAAGCAAAATGAGGACAAAGAATGCAATCATTATCATTTATCAGAATCCTATGATTTTTATGATTTCATGCTGGGCAATTCCAACTGTCTGGGTGATTTCTGACCTCATCGACAGAACAAGCCTATAAGGTGGACATCCTTGCCTACCACTCTTTCTGATGAGGAAACTGAGAGTAAGAATAATTAAATACATTTCAAAGTCTCCCAGTAGTGACTATTAGAGTAATTTTCAAAGTCTTTCTTATTCTTCTTTCAAACATTTCTTCTCAGTTTGGGGAAAAAATCCCCCAAAACAAGCTCCTCTGTGTCATACTGAAGCCTCCCCATACTGCATGGTACTTGAATTACATCAAAGAATCCATCACCACCCTCACAAAACTTTTCTTTTTTAAAAAACTGTTCTTTCCCTTCTCCCTGCTCATGAAGAAGATGTCTTCTTCTTCATCTTATTTTTGTTTGTTTGTTCCTCCAGATATTACACATATATTTTTAAAAACTAATGACCTAACTCTTCCACATTGACGTTTTTAGATTTTGTGCATAGGGCCATACATTATTGGCATGGTCTTCAGTGCCTAGAAAGGCACCTCGTGGTCTGCCTTGCACTGTAGGGTCAGGTTGCACTGACTCTCCCCAGTAGCCTAATAGCATCTCTTTCAAACCTCCCTGCCTGCGACTTTTTTTCCCTGGATATGTCCTGAACTGAGGGATCCTGAGATTTGCAGGAAGAACAATCCTGGTCCTTCTTAACCTCAGGCCTCAAGCTCGGCTGCGGAATTGGTCTTTTAATTCTCTCTCCTCTGCCTGTCTTATCACTCTCCAAAGAGGCTGAAGCCCTTTCAGAGTATACAGGAGCTAACTGGTTCTTTCCATAGGTCAAAATTATCCAGACAAGTTCAGGAGAAAATATATGCCTGGAAGTGAATGATAATAACCAAGACCTTTGGGTTCTAATAAAAAAGGAGAAAGTTTGGCTCAATCCCTCCCCCCGCTAACCCCCTCCAATAGCTGTCATTCTGCTTTCTATCTATGAGTTTAATAAAAATAAGAGAAATTGAGTGAAAAGGGTACCTATTAAGTAGAAATGTGAAATAACCTTCTAAATGAGGTTGACAGCACCTTTCTTTCTGGAGTCAAAATAGAAGGAAACGAAATCACTGAAAGGGAGTGACTCTGTGCAAGGTGGTACCTGGACGTCATGTTGACCAGTGTGTCGACCTTCTCAGCTCTCTTGGGTCCCACAGTTCCAGGAGCTGGCATTATCTCCACTCACCTCACTGAAAAAGACAGGTGTTCCAGTGATGTCATTGAATGCTGACCTTTCCAAGAAAAAGATGCTAAGACACTAATTAATTTAAAAAAGAGAAGTATCTGCAGTGTGTCAGTTTAGATTTGAACCTGAAGATCAAACACTGAATTTCAGTGCCGTGACAGAAAATCCCTCTAGACATGTGCAAGTTCAATGAATGTTTAATAAAAAGAACAATTTCCTTCTTGTATCAGTGTTTGGATTGTCAAGTTTTACTGGCAGGAATATCCATTAAAATCTCAGTTGCATAATTTGTTTTTGTTGTCATCTTAATGCCACCTAGTATTCTGATAGTATTATTGGGCATTGATTGTATTTTGAGTTTAAAAGGAAAAATGCACGTAGAATTTCCAGACCGTGTATTCAACTTTCAAAATGGTCTACATACTTTAAGTGGGAGGAGGGCTGAGGTATATAATGTGTGTTGGGTCTGCTGTGTGAAGATTACTCTGGTCTGAGGTCAGGAATATTTGATTCCAATCTACAGACTGGCAAGGTTAGAGTCTGCTCTATGATTGGAGGCAAATCACTGGAACTTCATTGATCTCAAATTCCTGATTTGTAAAATCAGGGTTTGGTCATCTAAGAGACTGCAGTAGACAGAACAGTGGTCAGTCCTCCAAAGATGTCTCCATCCTAATCCGTGAATATTTTGGGTCACATAAAAAAGAAAATTAAAGTTGCAGATAAAATAAGGTTCAACTGACCTTGAAATGATGGGAGATGACCATGGATTACCCAGTTGCACCCAATGTCATCATAAGAGTTCTTATAAAGATAAGAAAGAAGCAGAAGAGAAAGAGAAAGGAAAAGCCAAGTTTAAGATATAAAATGTCAGATCGGGTACGTGGAGAACACATTTGATAAACTGTCTTGATATGGTAAAGAAAAGGATAAATGGATGAAAACAAAAGGCACTAGACAGAGAGGACTAAGATAAAAAATCCAGCTTGATAAGTGTTTGGAAATATTAATAATCAACCACTTAATTTAAAAAAATCGTTCTGAGCTAAATTCCTCCCAAGCCCTCATATTCAGAATAAAAAGGGTCTGATCAAAATTGAGGCAATGGATATTTCTAATTTTTCAAATTACAAAGTTACAATATGACCCTCATTATCAGATATCAAGATGTATTTTGACATATAATAATTAAGCAAATATAATATTGGGCCAGAAATTGACACATAGACCTAGAGTAAGAGAATATCATAAAGAACCCAGAAAAAGAACCACAAATACAGAAATGTGTTGTATAACAAATGAGGCACTAAACCCAATGGAGAAAGAGTAGACTATTCTATCTTGTCACTTCAATAATTTGTTATGAACATATAAAGATAATACAGTTCTACCTCACATGATACACAATAACACATTCTAGGTGAATTAACACCTTAATGTGTAAAGTAAAACTTTTGAAGAAAATGTTATGACCTTGGGAAGGAAAGAGTATCTGAAGACACTGTAAAACCTAAATCATTCAAGAAAAAAGGATACATTGCTTATTTTCCAATTTTATACTTCTTCCAGAAAAAGGCATTATAAAAACAGCAAGCAGTAGATTTGGAGAAGATGATAGTAACACATGTAACTGACAAAGATTTTGAATTGAGAGTAAATAGTAGAAGAACTCCTATTAATTTGTAAGAAAGAGGAAACCAAAAAGGGGAAAAAAAACCTGTATATGAACTGGTAATGCACAGGAAAGACAAAATCTTAATAGCCAAAAAAAAAAAAAGAGATGATGTCCAACCTGGCCAATAACCAGGGAAGTAAAAATAAAACCCATAATAGAACTGTTTTATATGCTGCAGAAAGGCAGAAAAAAATCTGGCACTTCCCAGTAAAGTCAAAGTCTGTGTTAAGTCAAAGCCATGGCCCAGGCATCTACTTGGTGGCTTTGACCCTGGAGACCAATTCACAGGAAGGCACATGCAAAAATATTTACAGCATGTTGTCTGCCATGGGAAGGGTCTAGATAGAGCCTAAGTGTCCCTTTATGGGAGGACAATCAAGTTAGGGTCAGCCTATTCAATGCCACTTTTAAATTACCCAAATGAAGAATCGTATACCAGCACAGACACTCTCAAAACCCTCAATTTTGAGTGAAGTACATTGCAGAGTAGTTTATGGAATATATCATTTCATGGGGCTTAAAAAGATACAAAACACTACAATATACAATATACATACATATGTGTATACATACTGACATATGTTTATATAGGTACACATTTATAATGAAGTGTATATGTAGTAACAATTTTTAAATGTAGAGAAAGAGAAACAAATTCGGGGCAGCAGTTAACTTTGATGTTCATAGAGAAACCTTCACTGTCCTTCACAAAGTTTTATTTTCCCAAGTTGGGGTATGGGCACACTGGTGCTTTTATAATATTTTTGTACCATCTTCAAGCCCAATATGTTTAACGTAATAATACAAAAGACTGTAACAATAATAACAATTTAAATTCCAGATTACTTTTGTGAACATAGGAAAATACATATTGTAGGGGATGAGATAATGATGAAAGTGAATAAATTGTGCTGACTTCTATCTCTTATAATTTAGAAATGAATTACAGCACATTTTTTTTGCCATTGTTAATTAGGGAAATAGAGCTTAAGGGGTGTTTTTTGAAAACTTAGTGATTTCTTTGTGTAGAATTACAATGACAAGACATATGAACTCTTTAAACCACTGAAAAGATAAAAGCAAGTGACACGTTGTTCTTATAGAAAATAACATAAAAGAACAAGGAAGCAGAAACTCCGGAAAGCATGAAAGAGAATAATAGAACAAATATCAACCCCCACAGGGGAATAGACAATTATTTAACTGGAATATCCTGTACTTGACCTGTTTGGATCTGAGGTTTAGAAATCTTAACCTCAGAATATTTTTGTATGTCTTAGTTCATATGACATTGCATAAATTTAGGATCTAAAAAGAAAAAGAAATTTAAGAAGAGCATTTATCTTAGAAGAACTTGTATTTTACCTAAATATATTTTACCAGTCAATTAGAGAAGGTGTTAAGTATTTTTTATTACTTTGCTTTTGGGTTGATCTGAATATAGGCAAAAAAAAAAAAAAAAAAGAAAGAAAGGAAGAAAGGAAGAAACCACAATTTTAGTAATGAAAGAACATAAATGCATTTTTTATCAATATTAATGATGACAGAATAGAACTTTGAATGTGCATTAATTCTCTTAAAAGAGTAATTTAGCATCATGCAATTAAATGATATGTTAAATAGAAAGTGGTGGAAAAATAACTAATCAGAATGACATGTTGACAGACAGTAAAACATAGTGGTCAAGATCATAAACTCCAGAGCCGGTCTACCTGCTTAAATGTCGGCTCTGATATTTGCTAGTTTATAACTCTGGCAAGCTACTGAACTATTCTATGGTTAGTCCGTTCACCTGTAAAATAGAGAATAAAAAATAGAGCCCAGGTGCTCAAATTATTCATCTGATAGTAATGTAACTTAAGTTACTATTTAAATAAACATACACATTCAATATACTCACAGAGAATATAGGGAAGTGATTACTAAGTAATATGTTATAGAACAAATTCTTTACAAATCATTTTTAAAATTCATAAATTATTTGTTAATTCTTAGATGCTATTCCAGATCCTTAGTATATATTAGTGGAAAAAAAGGACAAATTTTTCTGCTTTTATATATCTTATATTTTTGTGTTTACAGTCTTGGCCAAAACATTGAAAAGGAAGAGGGATAGAGTATGAGAGAAGATTATATATATAATATATATATATGTATATATGTAATATATATGTATATATGTATATATAATATATATATATAATATATATATATGTGTGTGTCTTGGGTATAAACTCCCACATAGAGTAACATGAAGAACTTCCACAAATCAGAAAGAAAAAAGAGGAATGTCCAATTAAAAAGAATCAATTATTTAAGCAGGTACCCCACAAAAGAAAATATCAGAATGACCTATAATTATATGGAAAGGTATAGAATATCATTAGTCTTCAGAGAAAAGCAAATTAAAACCATGATGAGACACTTCTCTAAAGTACCAAAACTACCAAAATAGCTCAGTTTTAACATATTGTGTCCTGGCTCCCAGGGCACCCTCAGATTCACCGTGTGTCTAGAAGGACTTCCAGAACTCAGAGAAGCTGCCATACTCACAATCGTAACTTGTTACCGTGAGAAGGGACCGATTCAAGTCAGCCACAGTAAACAGAGGTCTCTCCAGCACAGGACAGGCACCAACTTCCGCTTGTCCTCTCCCAGGTAAGTTGTATGAAGAGTGAATAATTCTCCCAGAAATAATGAGTGACAAAACATATGGAATACTATCAACCAGGGAAGCTCATGCCAGCGTTGGTGTCCGGAGATTTTACTGGGATTTGGTCTCATAGGCACACTGGGCTCACGTGGCTGACCCCCCAAGAGGTAACATTAATACAGCACAGGCCCAGCTCCCCATCGTAAACCAGACTGTTAGCATAACCCACCTGGCAGGGGCGAAGGCTGCAGGTGTGTAAAGTCACTTTGATCAGGCAGCACATTCTGAGGGTTTGGAGGTTAGCTCCCGGGATTTGCCCAAGGGTCAGTTGATTCTTTGGAAGGGGCAGGGTTCAAGCACCCCAAACCTGCTGAGTTAAACCTTTACTGCAGAAACGAATAAATAACCGAGAGAAACTAGAACCCTTATACACTGCCCTTGGGAATTTAAAATATCAATATTGCTTGTGAAAAATTTTGGAAGTTTCTGAAAGACTTAAAGATACATCTATCCTGTGATCAAGAAATTTGACTCAGGTATATACCAAGGATAAATAAATGCATATGTACACAAAATCTTCTACAAGAAGACCCATAGTAGCTTTATTCATTGCATTAAAAATGGAAACAGACTAAATAACTATATACAGGAAAATAAATAAACAAGTTGCGCTATGTTCACGCAATGGAACATTACTCAGAAATTAAAAGAAATGAACTCATGCACATAAAAGTACTGAACAAGTCTTTAAAATATGCTTTCATAAAAAGAAGACAGACACAGAAGAATAAAGACTATACATTCATTGAATATGATGTATAAGAACTGACAAAATGTTCCTAATATTATAGATATCAGGATAACAGTCAAATAATCGGGGCCAGATATTGGCAGCAAAGAACTTTATTAGTTGTTGGAAATACTATTTCTAGATATGGAAGGCACTCTGATACAGACTTGAACAATTCACTGAGCCCCAAATTAATATTTATGCATTTTATTAGATGTACATTTTTCTTCAGATAAAAATTTGCTCACCCTTATATTTTAATTCAACCCTCATATTTTAGTTCTACCACATGGTATGCTCTAAACTAGTATATTTGAAAGAGTGAACGAATGAATGAATCCACATCTTCCTGTCTTGGCTCTGTTCCCATGCTCATCAAGCCACATTCTAAAAATAAATATGCCTATATCATTAAATTTTCCATAGAAACAGAATGCAATGAGCAGAGACGGGCAAGGAGCTCACTTGCCTATTTTGTTTTTATCGTAATTGAATACATAGTCATTCTGGTATTTATAGGTCAGTCTCACATAAATTTAGTAATGGAATCCAATATTTCAGAGCTGTACTATCACTGGATATATTAGTAATATTGTTTTAAATAAAGATGAAAATGAGACCTTGAACTGTAGGGACCTCTGTAAGATTTTCTTCCCTGTGTATACCTGTCTGAGTAATCTGTCAGCCTTTGTGAGGAAAAAAACAAAACAAAACAAAAACAAATAGCCACACGCACACATAAAACAATACCACAAAACCAAAACAAACAAACAAAACAAAAAACCTCGTTTCATTAAATGCTTCTATCAAACTGCATGATGTATTACTTTCTTGAAAACTTTGGATTATCACGAGGCTCTCAGATGATACTGTGTGATGTTCTATGAACAACAGATTGTTGGGTGAAGAAGAAATTTTAGTAGCTGTTTTATGCAATCCCTTCATTTTAAGGATGGGGAAACTAGAGATTCCTTTACCAGAGATTCAAGGACTTCGGGCTCTTGTGCTAACTTAGAATTTCTTGCCTAATGACTTCTTTTTACATGAGACACATAAATTCCCATATGTCTACTAATCCATTCTTAATAAAAAATATGTCCCTTGCCACCAGGAATGTTTCTAACTAATACAACCCCCTTACACACGATTGCTACAATAGCCTTGTCCTTTTACAAATGCAGCATTTGAAAGCCAAAAGAGATTAACTTCTTGAATGATGCCCAGCTTTTCAACATCAGCGCTTTAGCAGTAGCCAGTGGTATAGCATCTTTGCAGTGTTCGAAGAAAAGAACTTGGGACTGAGAATTTACATTGAACTCAGCCCCCGTCTAAAAACCCAATGAAAAAAGTATTCCAATGCACACGGCATTTTTTTGGAATTTGACCACATTAAACTTCCTTGAATGAGCTCTTGATAGACATACCCTAATAAGATAAAGCATAAACCTTGGAATTAATAATAAAGTGCATGAAATAAAAGTAATCAAACATTTTTATACAGTGTGTTATATCTTAAATAAGGAATTATTTGTACAAATATTTTCGATAACCTAGAAATTGAAGAGTGATGGTGGGAGAGCAGGTTTGAGAGAAATAGACATATTGTTAAACTTTGAGCATGGAAAGGGAAAATAATTGAAGTGTAAACATTACTAAATTGGGATTCAATCTGTAGTAGAAGGTAGAAAGAAGTTAAACTAAAAGCAGAATGACCTTGGTAATTAAAAAACATAAAATTAAGGGACAAAAATAAATTATGATACACACCTAATATATATACAGGTAGGGCAAGAGTGGGTTTGTAGTTGTTTGTATGAAAAGTAATACAATAATAAATAATAATATAAAAATAAACTATGTGTTTCACATACTTACAATGTGAACCTACTTTTGCCCTGCCCTGTATTATATACTATATACTGAATGTAAAGTAAATTTTAATGAACAAAAAATGGTTAAACTCTTTGGTTAAAGAAAGCAAAACTCAGACCATATTAGGTAACAAGAGCAAAAACAATAACAACAAATACATAGTAAACTCATATTTCATTGCTGATTTGTGTAAGACACTTTTTGTAAGAGACATACTTAGTGTACAGGCAGGAGTGAAAAACAAAGGTAATGTGAAAATATGAGGCAAATGTAAAGCAGAAAAAATAGAGTAGCAATTTTAATACAGCACAAGATAGGATCTGTGGCACGAGCATTATCATTATCAGCAAGGAAGAGAGATGCTTTTTACTCTGAAAAACAGTAATAGATCCAGAAGATAAAGCAATCAGCAAAGACGCACATATAACTAACTATATGTAAATTCGAAATATGTTGAAGCAACAAGTCTCAGATTAATGTAGTGATTAACTGTGTAATTGGAGGTTTTAATATATCCCTCTCAGACACTGATAGAAAAAACAGACGAAAATAAAAAGATCATACTATAGATTGTATGGGTAGATTAATGAAGATAATACAAAGATATGTGGAGAAATTTCTGTAATTATTGGAACGGTCACAAGAATCTGTCACGCACCATACCACAAGTCTATCTTTAAACAGTTCTTAAAAATTAACATTTTCCCATACAGTGTCTCCTATACACAAAATATATAAAGTTAGAAATGAATGTCCAAAAGGGTAGAGTTTTAAGTTATTTATATCTTTAAACCAATAATGTGCTTACAGAGAGGCTGTGTTAAAGAAGATACGTAGTAGATGACAAAATACTCAGAACTAGATGACAATGAAAGAATATAAAACAAAACATGTGGGATGTTAATAGACAAATGTATTTTTAAATCCATTGATAAGATAGAAAGACCAAAAACACATGAGCTGACCTAAAATCTAAGAATAATGAGCAAAAAGTCTTATACTTCCAGCAGCATAACGCTCTAAGTATCCCGAAAAGAGCTCAACTGCCTTAAAATGCACACATACTGGATAATTTACAACAAATGTATTTTAAATGCATTTCTGAGTGCACAAGAAAGTATGGGAAATCCCCAAGGGCCAGGGACAATAGAAAGAAAGGGGTTTAAAACTACAGACAGCGCTGCCTGAGAACCTGCACACCCTGGCTTCTCTAGCATCTAAGTCAGTACCGGGGACTCGGAATATGGGGCATTACTCCTGCTTGAGAGACTAGGAGGTAGACTTCACAGTCATGCAAGTCAGGGAGTTCCTCAGTGAGTTCCTTAGACGTTGACCCAAAACTAAGGATTCTTGGGCAGGAATTTAAGGAGGTATTGCTAGAGAAAGCCAGTAAAGAGTGCAGAAAACAGAAAAGAGGGGGAAGCCTTTAAGGAGTAACCTTGGGCAAAGTCCATGCTTTGATCTGGCTAACCTGTTTAAAAGATGGGTATGTCCATGGTGAAAAGTATTCTGGCTGTAGAGTAAGAATGTGAGCTGAGAGACCAGGTGGATGGCTCATGCAGTCATCAAGGAGAGAGGAAATAGGGGAGCTGAGCAAGTAGACAGAATTTTATGGCTAGACCGGATGTAGAACGTGGGAGAAAAGGAAAAGTCAAAGAAGAGTTCCAAAGTTAGATATTGGGTGCTTGGTGTTTTTTTGCAGAGATGAGAAAAGACCTGGGGGTGTCAAGTGGATGAATTTGTTGAGATTGAGATGCCTGTTACGTACACAACTATATATGCTGAGTAAGCAGAATGAAATGAGAGTGTAGACTCCAGGTCAAGGTAAAAGATGGACCTAAATTTGGCAGTGGTCATCTTACTGAAATCATAGGTCTGGATGACATAACCGAGAGTGAGTGTACAAACAGGCCACAGATTGGAGCTGGGGACACAGTGACATCTAGAGTTTGGCAAGGGAAGTGAACTCTGACCAAAGAATTTCAAAGAGAGAGAAAAAAAAAGGTTACTGGCAGGAAAAGTAACAGTGACGTCTACTTTGAGGACAAGGAAATTCCGAATGGCGACTCTTCTAAAGGAAGAATAGAAAGCTTACGGAAAATACGTATTTCAAGGGACTGCTAGATAATTTCCTGCTTTCACAAAGGATGTTTGGGGTCACTGCTTTTGAGAAAAGAACCTTTACTCTCATAACTATAAGGTGCTCTTTGGCAACCAGGAAGCAAACATGTATTTGACAATATATATTTCATTTTTCAAAGATTCTTCATGCTTCATCTCTCAGGTTCACAGAAACCCTTACTGGGCTTCAGTAGGTGAAGTTGCATCTACAGGTGAAGATGT